CTGCCCTATCGGACGGCAGGCCTGAGAATGTAATACTTCCTGAATCATTTTTAATGTCCGACACGTCAATTACTCGTATTATCCGCACGGAAGATCCTCAGTTTCTTAGCGTTCATTATCATTTAGTTAGGGTGCTGTCCTACGTCGCTGAGAACCAGAATAACATACAATTCCTTATCATTGACCCAAAAAATAGGTCCTCGAAATTAGAGACATGATGGTGCTTTTTCGGCAGGTGAACTTGGTTGGAGGATACTATGACGCCGGCGACAACGTCAAGTTCAGTTGGCCGATGGCATTCGCTGTCACCCTGTTGAGTTGGACTGCTACAGAGTACCAGAGGGAGATTGCTGCAGCCAACCAGCTCTGGTATTTGCGAAGCGCAATCAAATGGGGGACCGACTTCCTATTACGAGCTCACACTTCGCCTACGACACTATATACGCAGGTCCGCTGCTATTTTTCGTTTGCTCTACATCGAATATATAGGCTTCTAAATTGCTTTACCATCTAAATTAGGACTTGAACATTTGTTTTCACTGATCTGGATCATTGTGAGAATCATTGTAATGTGGTCCAATGGTCCCTGTGACTTTCACAGGTGGGAGATGGAAACTCGGATCACCAATGCTGGGAACGCCCCGAGGACATGGACACGGCGAGGACGCTCTATAAGATCACCACTAGCTCACCAGGAACTGAAGCGGCAGCTGAAGCAGCCGCCGCTCTTTCTGCAGCTTCGATTGTCTTTAAATCCATCGACGCCAACTACTCCGCGCTGCTTCTGAGCAAATCGAAATCCGTAAGAGCTAAAAAACCATATTTGCCCATTGAATAATAAAGATTCCTCTTACCTCTTATAAATTATAATGTCACACTAAGGCACGAACACTGTCATTGTTTCAGCTGTTTGAATTGGCAGACAAGTACAGAGGATCTTACCAGGGCTCATGCCCTTTCTACTGCTCTTACTCAGGCTACCAGGTAAATCCCACAAACTCGTTCTTGTTCTCCTGAAACTATTAAGTAAAATTGAATTCCTACAGGATGAGCTTTTATGGGCTAGTGTTTGGCTATACAAGGCAAGTGGAGACGGCAACTACTTGAACTATGTATTGAGCAACCAGGGTTGGAGCCAGGCGGTTTCCGAATTCAGCTGGGACAACAAATTCGCCGGCGCACAAGTGCTCTTGGCCCAGGTAACATCCTTTGTTGATCCAAAACATTATATCTTTCTGCCGAAGCAAGAAAAATCCAATCCTCTCGGGCGGAAATGTAGATACTAATCCTGCTCCTTCGATCAGGAGTTCCACAGGGGCAAGACCAACTTGGCCAAGTTCAACAACGATGCGGCGTCGTTCGTGTGCGCATTGATGCCTGGAAGTAGCACCATCCAGATCAAGACAACGCCCGGTACATGTTTTTCATTTTCTAGTCCATCGGGATTTTTGAATTCTCATTCTGGTGATTGGTGAGCCGCTCAGGGAAAGAGAGCGTGAATAGCTTGGATATATCTCTTTTGCAGGTGGTCTGCTGTACACTCGAGACAGTTCGAATCTGCAGTACACGACAAGCGCGTCAATGGTGCTCCTGATACACTCGAAGACGTTGAGCAAGGCTCACGTCGACGGAGTCCAATGCGGGTCTGCGCATTTCTCCGCTTCCCACATCAGAGAATTTGCGAAATCACAGGTTAAACGCTACGTCTCCTCCTCAGACGAAGACAATAGAGATCTAAATCATATTACACATATTGGGATTATTCGAACAGAACATACCATCAAATCGACAAACCAAGCAGGGGATGGATCAATGTTAAATCCAGATTGAAACGTGCTTGTGAACTTAGAACATAGGAAACAATTTTTGTGATCATGGCATGTAAATGGTTCTCAGGTGGACTACATATTGGGGAAGAATCCTATGAACACGTCATACATGGTGGGCTGGGGCTCCAAATACCCGAGGCAGCTGCACCACCGAGGCGCGTCGATCCCGTCCATCCATGTCCATCCCGCCAAGGTGGGCTGCAACGACGGTCTCGCCACGTACTACTCATCAACCAATCCGAACCCGAACACGCACGTGGGGGCAATCGTGGGAGGGCCCGACTCAAACGACCAGTTTAGTGATCTGAGATCGGACTACTCGCACTCGGAGCCTGCGACGTACATGAACGCAGCCTTTGCGGGGGCGGTGGCTGCTTTGCTTCCTGGAACCCAAGAAGAGTGCGTGGGGACGAAGAAGATGGGTGACCACGCATGAAATTTACCTTAATCATAGGAACCACTGAGATATTACTGCTGCTAAGACTTTCTTTAACTCCAATAACCTCTGAATGAAAGCACACAAGTCATGTGAAATAATTCATTGAGAGAAAGACATTTTCACTGAATATCATTGACCTGGTGACACCCGTAGAATAAGTTAGTAATGATATTATGATCTTTGGATGTGTTGTGAGATTGACGGTGCTTTATGTATGTAAAAGGTTTCTCTCCCTTTCCCACCCCTAAAAAAAAAGAACAACAAAACCAAAGGAAGGATTCTCCGTCAATAGTGAACTTAAAGTATGTGGACTAGGAGTGAGCAAGATGGACTGATTGAACTGCAAACTGCTCAAATCGGACCGAACCGACCCAGTCCGATCCGGTTCCCGAGAATGCCGGTCCGGTTTTTGGTTCCTAAAAATAGAACCAGTGTTTGGGTGATCCGATTCCCAGTTCCAAAGGGGGAACCGGACCGCCCGGACTGATTGTTTTTATTTTTATTTTTTAAATGTCTTACACACGCCTCCTCTCCTCCTTTAGTCTTTCCCTTTCGCCCCATGATGCTCACGCCTCTTGTCTTTCCCTCTCCTCTCTCCTCTCGGCAAACCCTAATCGCCAACATTGACGGAAACACTTTGTTACTTTCAGCAAAGAGTTTTCTCATCAATGCGGCTGTGAATCTTCCTTCTGATCTCCATCAAGTACATCCAAATTCGATTGTCCGTGTGAGTTGTAGTTTCTAAGATTAGCTGTGTAGCTTTTCCGTTAAAGATTGATAGACTCATCATGTAATCCCAGGGATACATCTGCAATATAATCTAGACAGGTTGCTTTGTTAGTTACCTTGGCCATTTGATTGGTTTCTCTCCAAGTAAGAAGGTCAACACATCATGTTAGTTATCTGATTTCAGCGTTTTTTTGGTCTTATCCTGTACTTACTACTCAAGCAATTCGATTCTCTCTCTTTCGTTGAAAGACGATAGATGAGCAGAGAGAGACTCAAAGTCGAAAAGTTCCATTTATAAACCGTCCGGGAACCGATCACCCCTAGTGTGGACCGTCGTTGCAGTGTGTAAGCAGCATTAGAAAATTTGCGGCGGCGCAAAGGGCATCGTTCTCATCAAGAGAGGCGTGTGTGCAAGCCCGGGCCGACGGCCAGGTTTAGTTGCGGCATACCAAATCTCAACTTTTATTAAGTATACATCTAGGGATGGGCGTGGGACGAAATGGGGATGGGGATTCATGGGCCTCGGACCGACCACGTAATCGGTAATCGTTAACAATATTGTAATGATTATATAACCATAGTTATCATGATAATGAGAATGCCTTCATTGTTATAATATTTTGTGTAATGAAACTGACGTCATGGGTAGTTGCTAAAATTAGAAAAAGTCATCGTGGATTTCGTTCTATAAAGTCCAACAAGAGCTGTGCCCAACCCAACGGGGCCCCGGGCACCGATTTCCCGCGTTCCCCGCCCATCTTAGTACGTACTTTCTATGAAATTGGAGGATTCTATTCTACTTCGATATTATGCAAGTATCGTCAGTTATTAACTGAATTTTTTGGGATTATTTTGGTTTTTTATTATTTTTTCCAAGAATTTCAGTTTTTAATAATTTAATCGAAAGACAAAATAATTTGCCCATGCTGTAAGTTTTTAATAATTCACCCCGTCAATTTTTTTTCTTTCGTTCTCTTTTCTTCTAAATTTATTAATTGATTATTCGCACCTTTCCTATCTATCTGCCGTGAGGGTCTTGCAGGGAAAATTACCAAAACGTCTCAAACCAGTATACGACGGCCAATTCAGTCCTAAACTTTTCAATTGTGCCAATTTAACCTTAAACCTTTTGACAATTGCCTTTGGGTTCTGAACTTTATATGGGGAGAGACTTGACTTCTTTTCTTAGTCAATGATTGATGACGATTTGTCAATGTAGTATATCCGGCAAATATTGACCGAAAATCGCTATCGTGGGTGCCAGCTGTTCCGCGTGGCACGTGATATGTACATGTTCACTATCATTCCTTTTTGTCCCTTTTGGGAAAATGAATTTGCGGCATGAAAGCTCCATTCCTTCACAAGGAAGGAAAATGACAAACGACCTTTTGGCAAGTGGGAAAAAAGAAGATAAAAAGGACAAAAACAAAAGAGAGGGAAAGGATATCTAAAAAAGAACCCTAAATGAACTTTTGGTCCATTTCTTATCCTCTTTTTATACTCTTTATTTTTTTTCAATTGTCTTCTCCTATTTTTTGCCATCCTTTTCCTATTATTCAGTAGGGAAGAGGATGGGGGCAATGCCTTGGTCACCCGGTTGACAAAACGCTCCAAAACGTGCACAAGTTGATTGCATATAGAGAAAAAATAAATAATTTCAGTTTCTCAATTATTGAAACACATGCATGAGCATGACGTTCCATGATCCTTGTAGATATTAAATTACGAAATACTTTTCTATTCTTTATTATATCTCAGGGAAATTCGGACAAAGTCTTATTCATGTTAGATTAAGTTCCACATGAGAAATTGCAAAAGAATAGGTTTAAGTCGTATACGACATTATCTATGCACGTTGCTTTGTAATTTGGGTGATTAGCTAATACTTGGCTGATCAAGACCCAACTAATCCTTTTCTTAAACTCCCTAATTAGAGCACAGTCTTGTCCCGTGAGCCAAAGTTAATGACGCTATCGAAATTCCCTTCCGTGTTCTTCCATGCGTGTCGTAAATTATGGATCTTCTATTTCCTTTTCGATCTTTACAATTGAGAAGCAAACGTGAACAACGGTCATCACTTAGACAAAAATACTACAAGATATGATTGATTGATCTTGTCCTGGCGAACGAGTTCTGCGTTTCGTGCTTCTTCGGTGGTGATTTTAGCTGCAGCCGGCAAGGCCTAGATCCATAACCATGTCGTTCAACTCCTCGAACCCCATGAACATTTCATTGCCGAAGAACAACGTCGGGTCGAGGTTAATCTCGTCACTCCCACCCGATGACCCGCTCCCGCAGCTGGACAATTGCTCCTTGTCTTCTTCAGAATGAGTCACGATGAGCGGAGGAGTCGTTGGAGACCGAGTGGTGGTCAGGCTCGGAGAGTTGCGTGTGCTGTCGGCTAGAGGCGTGTGCCTGTTGCCTTTAACTATGGAGGATTGCTTTGCTTTAGGGGAAGCGAACTTGTTCCTGGTGCTGCCAGCGAGCGCGTTCCGGCGAGTCGGGCGGGTGTGGCAGTGCTCGCCGGTGTAGGTCACGACAAAGACCCCAGGATCGGAGCTGCTCTGCTCGACTTGTTTCCTTGCCAAACAACCCTTTGAGCTGCTGCACCTATAGTAGCTCCTGTATGCACAATTTTTCCAACCCAAGCAACACATTCAGTTAGGTCAACTGAAATAATGTGTGTCCGAGAGAAAGAAATGAAATGAAATTATTTTAGACACAGCCATTCAGTTTCTGGATCTAACAAGATCCACTTATGACCGTACACTCGAGTCACTGCAAATTCGGTTTCAGCATAGAGAGAGAACAAAACTTGGTAGCCTTGAAATAATCTGAGGTACGCATTACGCTTTGTCAAGTTTTAATCATGTAACTACGACATGCTACGACTACAAGAATTAAACTATATGTATGGTATATACAAGCACTCGAATTGCCTTTTTCTTTGCAAAACATATTCACATGAACATGCTGCTGATACTAGGAGCTAAATCATGAAAGGTGATACCAAGAACTGGCATCCGCCTGATGAATGAGTTCATTCGTAATTCTTCAGCAAAAGGTGAGGAGGTTTTTTATTTTTGTGTTGCAGTGCCAATTGAAGCTCAAGTGGTATCTTTGCCAAGTGTCTACAACAACAAAAATTCGGGAATAAGTTCATCAATCAAGGGAGGGAGAGAGAGAGGACCGACCTGGGATAGGGCGAACCTTTGATAGGTTTCTGGCCGTACTTGCGCCAAGCCCACATGTCCGACGACACCCCGTTGGCCGTCACATGGTGCACCTCCCTCTTCTGCTGATTTTTCCTAATCATTCGATTAAACCAAATTAATCTCTCTGATAAACATCAATTCACCAACCAATTCTCATAATCAAGAACTATTTATCTTACCTCCTCCTTTGTTTAGCTTCACCATAATGAACTCCCTGGCTTGTTGCTGAAGCATCCGTCAAGGACTCTTCTTCCTTCGGCTTATTCTCAGCCTCTTCAATCACTTCTTCGGATTTCAACGCTGCATCGCAGACGGACGGTGGTTCCGGATAGAATGGCTTGTAGAGCAGCTCCAGATCATCTAAGAGCGCTGACGTCTGGGCAAACTCGGAAAACCCGCCGAAGAGAATCTCTTCCTGTCGCAAATCGGCGACAGACCCCCACGCCATGTAATCCGTGACGTCGTAATAAGTCTCGCCGACGCCGCACCCCCCGACGATGGCCTGCAGATCCCAATCATCGACGTGCTCGGAATTCATTTCTTTGTGGGAGAATATTAGGAGACAAAATTTCCCAAAAAAGAAAGAAAGATTGAAGTTAGATGAAAAAGGTGAGGGAGGAGGTGGTTTATATATTGGGAGAGATTTGGGTCATGAGTTCAAAAGTTGCGAGCTTGAAGTCTCCAGTTTCGCCTCAAACCCCAGTTCTTGCATCCATATCCTGGGTTTGACTTTGGGAAAGAAGTCAGACAATTTTAAACTATGGGACTGTGCACACATAACGAATGCATGGATCAGCAGAAGATAGGGCATTCGTTCTTATATGCAAGTTGCAGGAGACACCAAGACTTTTTTTGGATCTATTGCAGCAAAAGTTTATTCTCCATCTTTCATTGCACTTCGCTTTCGTGGATGACTTTGAACTTTTCGCATTTAAGAATAGCTCCTATTTGCAAGTCGGCTGTGGACTCGTGAAATTGGGGAGATCTTGCTTGAAAACTTCTGTCTTCCTTTTCGGGTCAGTGCACAATATGAGAAAAACAAAAAAAGAATAATCTAGGAAATTTCCTGCTTAGGTTTACACTACTTTTGATAAATTGAGCAACACGATGTTCTTAAATCTTAAATATGATATAATACTTTTGGCCGAAGGTGGAATCAGTCGTTGATGGATATGTCAAACTTGAAGTTTGAAGAGGGTTGTCATATGAAGAAAGTCAAAGGGAAAAATAAACCAATGACTAAATAAACACACGCAGAGTTACTAGCGGGATTGGCGCAAATTTTATTGGAATTCTTGCATGGGATACGATCGTATTTATAAACAAATACGGTACAAACTCGATGTACGGACGTAGATAAACAAACGATAAGCTCGAGACGGTCCTACATGTTGACATCGCACCCATGTACATGCTAAGGTTCGTCCCCGTAATAATGTAACGTTTGTGACACGGTCGAAACAAAATGATTAACATGAATTTCACAATTTGCAAAAGCATGCACACACTTGCAAAACAATCGTTCGAAAGGCCACTGTCCAAAGAAAAATCTTTCCAACTCTATCTTTCGGATAATATGCGAAAAGGTGTCTGCATCTTTGAACGTAACAAATACACACTAACTTTTAGCAAAAAAATAAAATAAAATTCACAGTAACAAAGCTCTTAGGAATTTCGAAAATTAACTCTAAGCGGAAAAACGGATCTGAAAATAAGAATAAATAGCAAACGGTTGCAACTTGGACTTAAAATATGGAAAAAGTGAGCCTAAACCTAGGAAAACAGGAGGATTTTGGGGCCGAAAAGAGCTTCAAATAGGTAAATCGATCCGTAAAGACCTCTCAAATGACCTCTCAAATGACATGGGGTTGGGGGTGGCCAAAGTCGATGGATAGAGAGGGAGGAAGGAGAGGCCGGGCTTGTTGGGGCGAGGACGGAGGCTCGACTAGTTTAGTGTGTTTTCGGTTGGTTGAGGCATCGCCTGCTTTGGCGGCGGCGTTTCAATCGAGTTGGGTGATAGCTGGTGGAGAGGGGTTTACATCGGTGTTAGGGGATAATTGTCCAAAAAGTCCTAAACATAAGGTAGCCAATTCAATACTGAACATTTCAATTTTACCGATTTAGTCCTAAAATCTTTATTTGTGTCAATTTACTCTTAAACCTTTTGAAAATTTGCCAATTTAGTCCTAAACCTACATTGGCAAATCATTTAAAAATTTAGAACTAAATTGGCAAATTGTTAAAAAGTTTAAGACTAAATTGGTACAATTGAATGGTTTATGATTAAATTGACAAATCGTCAAAAGATTTAGAGGCACAATTAAAAGGTTTGGAGTTGAATTGGCCTTCGTATAATAGGTTTAGGATTTTTGGATAATTTTTCCTCTATGTTAGGGTTTGTGCGTGTGGAGAAGACGAATGCGTGACGCAATTTCGTAAGCGAGACAGCAGATGGGTCCATTTGTAGGGGACAATGGATCTGCACCTTTTCGGAATCCATTTGATCATATGAAAATATGTGACTTCACAGATTCTTTACTAATACACCAAGCGATGGTGGGAGGGGGAAGCCCCAACCTCCTCTCGTCAGAATAGTAAGCTGCATGCGCGACCACTTCGAATGGCAAAGCCAGAGATGATATTATTGCTTAATGAAGTCGTTTTGCGTATTGGATGACTAGTCGATTTCTTTGAACATCCTTCTTAGTAAGTCAAAACATTAAAAAAAAAATAAAGAGAGAATACAGAGGGCTCAAGATTGTCTCTGTCCATAATTGCCGATGCCCTTTCTGATTGCCAACCAACTATGTGCTGAAAAGATTGACCACAATCCGGACAAAAAGTCTAGCAGATAGAGGGCATGTCTTTTCAGATTCGAGTTCACACCAAAGTTTATGATCTTGAAATTTGATTAAATCACAAGTTACGTCGTCCCCATAAAGTAAGAGACCCGTGCCACCTATGTTCTTGCACCCGCGCCGTGTTGTGTCCTATAGCCCTTTGATTTCCATGCCATGCCCGGAGATACCCTACATCAACTATCACGACTTTCTTGATCTGACCGTGAGAAACAAGACCACACAAGCGAGCATTAGAAGATTCAACCAGGCCCTTAAAAGATATCGACGAGCTAATTTGCTGTCCCGACGCGATGCGACCCGTGTTAATGATTGAACAAGGCAACTTTAGTTTAATTTGAACCGAGTATGGTTGAACGAAACAGAGAGGATCTCACTCATTCAGACCTATCTTCAACACGACTGTGTACGCACGACTGAAGTGCGCTTGTCATGCAGGAGCAATAATACAATAAGTTCTTTAAAAATCTCAAGAAAATGACGAGATGGGCGTACAGTTGTCTTGTGAAATGCACGAGTGGGTCACATTGCGCAATATTTTTATCACGAATTGGAGAGAGAGAGAGAGAGAGACGAAGAGAGCGGTGGTCATTCAATGGGCGGTCCCCCTCCCTCTTCTCCATTTTCCACGCGCAACTTGGCCGTAGCTTTTAGCTTCGAGGCTCGGCCGACGCCAGAGTTCGGTACGTTAAAAAATCCAACAAGTTGTCTAAGATCTTGCGTGCGAAGAGGATCAAAGAAAAGGGAATGGAGAAAAAGTCCACCGCAAGCGTGTGCGGAGGAGATGGTTGAACCGCCACGGCGGAGACGCTGGAATCCCGGCCGGAGTCAACAAAAGCGGCGGCACTGAATTATTCCCCAGCTTGAACCCTAAATGAGCGCTTTTGCGCAAAGACAAAGGTACCAAAAAACAAGGACATTGCCCGTGGCCACGGTTTAGGGATGTGAGAGAGATTGGCCCCGACATGCATCAGGTATGGAGTGCCAATCTTTACTGCATTTCGTGCCTATTAGCGCTGGCCCGAACATCCTCCTCGACAATGGGGAAAACGAGAAGGAATTGCTGGAATTCATTTCGATGAATCGGATCCGGTAATATTCAAGTAATAGCAAAAAAGATCTTTATCATAACGTCCATAGTTCTCGCACCGTGATCAGTCATGTAAGGCGTAGAAAAGAGGGCTTATTGACCCACCGACTAATAGGGTCCATCAAAACTCCCCGCTGTTTTGTCTATACGAGCCGGTTAATAGAGTCAACGATTCAATGAACCATCCCTGCGCTATCTCTATCCGGCATACAACAACGACATGCGTGAACATCATCGATGAACTTCTTTTTGGCTGTTAACAAAGGAATTCATGAATCCCCCATATAGTTGAGGGCCATGAAGAAGAAAAAGGGGAAGTAATGAATGGGTGCACATTACCTAAGCCCAAGGTAAAGTAAAATTACACTGAGGAGCTGTGTAGCTGGGTCCGGTATGGGGCACAATCATATCTCTTTTCGTGATCTGTGCGTAATATCAATAAATACTCCTTTCCTTTTCCTTTTAGCCCATCGTGATGTAGATAGTTATTTGAGATCTTTTTGGCTATGTATTAGGGAATAATATTAGAGTGGAGACCGCTATCCGTAGCTAGAGTGACATTTTAGAAAGATCTACTCGTAAAGAAAAAGTGAATGTTGGAAAGGTATTGATTGTGAAATTGGATTGGTTGTGGAGTGGGGGGTTGCATTGCATGGACCCAAAACTTGGGAGGGTTGGGGGAAGCTTCTCTAGTTCGTTTAGTTATGTGTGAATAGCAAATATTTTTCATAAACTTTGTTAGGTCCTCTCCCTCCCTCCGCCCAATAGAGAATTGACTCGAAAATCTATTTGATGAAAGATTCGATTATTCAACTCAATGACTCGATGATGTGCACTTACCACATATATTCACTCTCCACGATTTGGGTCGAAAGGAGCTCGTAACTCCAGTGAGAATGAGTCAAGATCGTCAGGGATTTCACTGATCAGACAGCGATTAAGTATGGACACAAATTATGTCAAGAACATATAATTGGATGTGATGGCTTAGGTCAGATGAACATATTGTAAAGGGAAATATATTGACATCAATCTCACGGCATCTCTAAGTCCACTTAAATAAACCACTGGGATTTGCCCCAGTGGCCACTCTTCCTATTTGGGAAGGGGGAGGTGGAAGTTCGAATCCCCACCTTCTCAGGAGGGTTAGGGGGTGGGGATGTGTAGTTTTAGATGTGAGTTTTGATTTTCACGCCTTGCAAAAGGTAAGGGAAAAGTCTGAAAGTGAGTTGAGAGTTAGAGTAGGACAAAAAAAAAAAAAAAAAAAAAAAGAAGTCCACTTGAATAGATTCCTCATTGATTAGAGCTTGTGTTGTGTAGTCAGTTCTTTCACCATTTGGATCAAACGGATTCCAATATTAGGAGCTCCCCAAATATATCATCCTCTCAAACCCTAGATGAACCTTCAATGAGTCGGGAATGAGTTCTATATAAGTAGAATCTCTCTCTCTCTCTCTCTCTCTCTCTCTCTCTCTCTCTCTCTCTCTCTCTCTCTCCACACGCAAACAAGGGGCTCCACCATCGGTCTCCATCGACCAAAGGTCATTTGGCTTGGTGTGCATATACGAAGGATGTCAACGCCATCACAGAAGAGAGGAGCACGGGGACGATGCAAATGGGTTAATGGGAGAGTAGGTAAAGAATGGCGAGAGATCAGTCCCCCATGAATAAAAAAATGGGAAGATGCATTCACATTCTAGTAGTCATTTTCACCCGAAAAGAAGAGAAGTTGCTAGTTCTAGTTTTGCATTGTATCAGCTAACATTGAGGACTAACGGAAGCAGAAGCAGAGTATGGCATCCTCGTTTGTCATTCCCCAGAATCAGTCACCGCATAAATAATGCTAGCGTCAAATTACAATTATAGGAGTCTTCCAAAATGTGCCAAAACAAACCAATCCTCCTCTCAAAGAACTACAACACCAACGCTTTCCAAGCCCTTACTACTCAATGATCGCCTCCGGTACATCTTCGATCCAAGAATCTCAACATCGTAATGCTA